AAAAAAAAAATTTAGTCTAGTACTGTAGCAACTTTCTAGTGGAATTACTTCTAAACAAAATAAGTGATGTGAAAACTAAAACTGTATTCTTAGCGTAAATTACAATAGCTTGTTAAATATTCCTACTTCGTTCAGCACCTCATAAATTTTGTCGTAAAACAATTTATAAGAGTTTCTTTTAATTTATGCCTTGTGTGTTGTGTAGTTTTGGAATATTTTAGAATTGCAAACATATTTTATGCTATATCGTTTCATCTCAGGTGTGTGTGTTTTTTTTAGTTTATGGGTGTTCCTAAGCATAAGGGCTATAACACAATATCGGCAAGAGCTATGTAGTCATAATCCTTTGTAGCTGAGTCATAGATTCATTTGATTTAGTAATAAAATTTGTTTTTTTTTTATTTTATTATACTGCATCTCAAATAAAGTATTTGTAAAGAATTTTAACATTAAAGAATTTTCTTACTAAGGACCCATTACACTTTCTATGGCGCAATTTATATTGTGGCGAAACGGAATGGAAGCGAATATTTGTAACGGTATTGTACATAGCATTATGAACTTTATGGTCAATTGTGTAATGTACAAACTAGATACGAGCCAAAATCTTCCATGCTGTGCGAACATTCTCGAGCATGCGCGAGATTTCCGAGGATGATTTTGACTTGTTGACACAGTTGACCATTCATTATGCTATGTACAATACAGTAACAAAAATTCGCATCCATTCCATTCCGCCGTTAAATATAAATTGAGCCTTAATCAACGACATTGGCAATCAAAATATACCTAGTAGTAAAAGTGTATACGTTATACTACAATTTATTAAATTATCCAATGTACAGATAAAGCCCAATAAGAACTCAAAGTGTAAAGATTGTATTCGTAGAAACAATGGTAATAGGAATGTTAATCACGACGAATCTTTTACTGAATGCCCATTGAGCTGTAGAAAATTTACCAAAACTATGCACTAATGTCTATACAGTTTTATTCAATATAATTTTATTTAAAATTCACAGACTGCATCGATGGTATAGCTTTATAGAAAAGGAAGACTGCCAGCATATCAGGCAGCAACTACACTTACCAAGGGGACCCAATGTTATCAAATTAAACTTAAATAATATTTGACGTCCGTATTCCTTTGTTCGGTTTAGCGATTAAAAATGTAGTTTAAAAGTCAGCAGGGCATTTCCTTTTTATAAGTGCCCTACGCTACAATAATGTTAAGACATTTTGCACATTCTCTCTCACGTGATACTTCTGTCAAATTTTAGAAAACCACAATATTGTCCACAAGTTTTATCGTGACATTCGAAGCAAGTTCAAAAATTTCATTCGGTAGTTAAAGTCATCTAAATATCTTTTTTGTTTCCCATTTCTTTTAAAAGATACTTTTTCAGTAGAGCCCCTTGTGAAAGTGTTCGCCTAGGGAAGTACTGCCATTTTACCTATTTCTGCCGACAAGTAATATGAGCATGACTGCGTATCGTTTTTGAAGGGTTGAAGGTGCTGGTGAAATTACAGACACAAATGTGACTTGTTAACTTGTGTCTCAGGGTGATAGGCGCAGTGCTTTTGTGATTTAAAGCTCTGCGTGGCACTGCAAATGTTATGGACAGGTGTGTTGCTTACCACCAGGCACCTTGCTTGTTCGTCCCGCCACGTAGTACTACTCATAAAAAAAAATGGATTTTTGTAAAAAATATATAAATAAACTAGTGGAGTAATTTCACAAAAAATAATTGAATATCAATTCAATAAAAATTTAAAATACAGCGAATAGCGACATCTCTCGCCAGGACTGGTAACTGTAAAGGTACTAACTGGGTGATAAATCTTTCATAGATTTCTCATACATGGCGCTACGACTAAAAAGTCGTTGAAAAAACCAAATACAAAGACACGACGCAAGCACATAGAAAAATTCGCGAGGTCCGCTGGTTCGTTCCGTGGTTTAGATTGTTTAGCGTCTAGCATGGTTTGAAGGAATTTTTTCATAGTGTTCTATCTTTGTATTAATTAATTAATTTTGGGATATTTTTTCAAATTTGAATGGGGCCACGACTGAGCCATCAACGAAATCAGTTCACAAATGGCAGAGCAACACGGACAAATTGAGAACCTCCTCCTTTTTTGAAATCGGTTAAAAACGATAACCTATTTATTACACACAAAAAAATGTTTATTTCAACTCTATCTCGCGAACTAGATGAACCTACGCGTTGAGAGACAATGCCTTAACAATCAATATACCAATTTGGGAAATTGTTCCTCTAGAGCTAGCACGACAAGGCGCGACTTGCGCGAGAGCGACATAAAGCTCGGGATCTCTAGGCAAGAAGTGTAGCAGTATCTCACTCAAGTTGCGCACTGTTGTGCTAGCCCTAATCGTTTTTTAAGGCTTAAAGCAAATAGTATATCTATAACATTTAAAATACTTTCCATCCGCATCCTATAGCCGTGAGACGCCCTGTATATTGTGCCGATGGTCAAGTACTACCTTTATAGCATAAGAATGCGTGACCATTATCAGTCGGAAGCCATTTATAAAACTAAATCCATCAGTAAAAACACATTTTTTTTCAATTTTTTTAAAGAAACGTAATTAATTTTGTTACACACACACAAAGACGTACTAATAATAATAGCATTAGAAAACGACACTTCGTCTCAATCTAGGAAATGCCCTGTGCTATTAATTAGCAACAGAATTCACTCTGAGAGATAAAGACCAATTTAAGAAGACATATTTTTTTAAAGTAAGTAATACTGCATTCACAGACTTAAAAAATTGAGAATTTGCATGTAAGAATATATGTGACCAGAGATGAAGCAGTAATGTACCCATTTGATTTTGAAGGGTAAGGGTGCTGTTGAAATTACAGGCACATGGGACTTCTTCAATTTATATATCAGGGTGACGGGCGCAGTGGCAGTGCCCCTCAGATCTTTGCGATTTAAAGCTCTAAGCAGCACTGGAACAGTTATGGACAGACGTGACGCTTACCACCAATCGACCATCGAATCAACATCACCGACAATCGACATCGAAGTCTTACCACGACTTCTTCGTCGCGTCACTAGGTGTAATACAAAAAAATTAAAGGATTTTTGAATAAATTGTATAGGTAATTGAAAGGTGTTCCTTTAAATTAAGATACTATTTTAATTACTATATATACTGACCCTTTGGATCGGCGTCACAGAAATACAGGATGTGTTATAGTAGCAGCAGAGCTCCTTGTGAAAGAATTCGTCCAGGATAGTACTGCCACCTTACCTATTTCTGCCGCCAAGCAGTAATGTCAGTATTAGTGTGTTACGATTTTGAAGGATAAGGGTGCTGGTGAAATTACAGGCTCATGGAACTTGGCAACTTATGTCTCAGTGTGAGAGAGACTCAGAGCAAAGTGCTCCTCAAATCTTTGTGATATAAAGCTCTGAGTGACGCTGCAACTATTGTGGACAGGCGTGTCACTTTCCACCAAGCGCTTGTTCGTCCCGTCACTTGGTATAACAAAAAAAATCACATGATATGTTCGATTCCCAGATTATTTATATCGTACACACTCATAGTGCCGCACTAGGGAAACCCTGTATCGCGGGTGCCATGAACACACGCATAGACAACCACAAATTACACCCAACTCTCGAGAGAAAATAATGTAGGCCATGCAAATGTTTCTCCCGTCCCGGGAATAGAACTCGACACCTCTTTGTGGCAGTCCAGCACGGTAACCATTCGGCCACGGAGGCAGTTAATGTTAAGATGAGACAAGTAACTTTTTACAAGTCTATAAATGATGTTCTTAGTTTTAAAAATTAAATAATTCTCTATGAAGCAAAATGTCCTATCTACGATGCTTAAATTACTTTCCTTCTGTATTCTCTAGTCGTGGGATGCCCTGTAAAATCTAAGGTGCTTTATCTATCATGTACTATCTCCCGATTTACAAAGATTTTAGCAAGTAATTGTATAAGCTGACAGAATTAATAAGATCAGTAGTCAGTGAGCGAAACGTTAAAGTTACTCTCCGCCACCTGTGTGTTTTCCATTGGCTATAATTTCCGTTTTCAATTAATCTATTTAAGATTCGAAATATTCGGTAACTGTATTATAAACAGATTGATACATTTGCGGGATAAAGTTAATAGGTTTTAATTAGTCTAAATTGTTCAAAGATCTGTGTCGTTTGATAAAATATATAACAATTTATTACATAGATTGCTTTACAGATAAAATAAATAAAATGTTTGGTAGTTTTAGTAAGCATTTTACTGTAAACTGTTCAAATTATGAATATAATTATTATCTTACTTAGTCTTTCACTAGACGACTAAGCAGCTCTTGTTAAACAAGCTTCGTGCGGAGATAAATAGTGTGTGCAATAGCACATGTATATCCCTTTTGTAATTAACATAATTTTCTATTTAAACAGGGCAGTTTTAATTTTAGGAAAGTTGTATTATGAAAAAAATTACATCGTTAAATTTTAATTTTAAACGAACAAAGTCGCTGCAATTAGCTAGTATTTTATAAACAGAAAACAAAAAACACGGGAGGAAGCTATCTCAATTTACATACGGTTAAGATTCTGGTTCTATCGCTTCCACATAGTTGTTAGAATTTAAATTAAAAAAGTTCATTGTTTGGAAAATAACTTTATTGCCAATTCTATTGGACAGGGTTTAAGATATTAGAATTCGATTTGAGAATAATTTATTATATGTTTAAGAGATTTTTGACGAGTGTGGACAACGTTTTTTTGTTTTTTGAATGCGAATAAAAGTTTGGCTTGTTATGACTATATTTATAGAATACTCATGTATTTATATATATTTACATTTTATAGATATTTAGGTGTATCCACGACTTAATTTGAGTTTGATATTTCGGCAAAAAGTGCGATGAATAACAATTATAATACGTAAAATATTAAATTGTTAATATATAACAATAAGCAAATAATGTTGTAAATTAATAATATACTAACGAATCGTGGTATAGTTGGGAAGGCAGGCAGGCGGTCGCAGGCTACAGGTGAGGGCCGGTCCAGCTCGGCCTGTTTCCCCTCTGAGTACGCGATGATGGTTCTCATCGTGGACATTCCCACTTGACGCCCTCTCCAGCGCACTCCCGCATGCCACTCATTTACAGACGCAATCCAACTCACACAGAAAATTGTAACTCCTGCTAATAAAAATTTCGTCACACGCACGAATTTTCTTGCAATGCGCGCCATTGTCATAGGTAGTACTTGTATTTCTTCAACATTTCACACAAAATTTATATTATTGTTCAAATGTTTATTTAAAACCGCTCTGGAATTAATTTTAAATTGTTAAGTTTACGTTCGGGAAATGTTCGTTGCGCGAGCGTCGCGTTGCACAGGAAATGCGGGGCGGTGAGCGCGGCGCACATGCGCTCCTCGCGGGATACCATTGCGAACTGCTACGGATCAGCTGATAGCATATCAACAATGCGGCCCTCCGGCTAATCGCTCTAAACGCCCCGACGTGAAAATCTTGTCTCATATACCAGTTTTTACTTGCAATTCTTCTTTTGCGTCTCCAGGCGGCGTGAACGCACTTCTAAACAACTAGTTCTCTATAAAAAGCTCGGATTGTAGCAATCTTACGCGGAACAAGAAATTTTATGACGAGTCCCCTGGACCGACCGCCGCATGTCTAATTAGATATTGCGTAAGATTGATGGGAAGAGTGCAATTATTGGGCGTAGTTTATAGCCTCCGTGCAGCGGTTTCCATAGATGCGGTGTTATTTGTATTGCTAGTTGCAGGCCCACCTAACTGAGTAGCTTTGACCGATCAGAATTTTATTCTATGAACGTACGAAATTATAAATTTATAGTAAAATTTACTTCGACAAAAAACGCACATAATTAAGTGTAATTTTAAATTTATTGCAATAACAGGCTACTATCCAGCAAAAAATTTAAATTAACGGCCTATTTGTGTGTAAATTATTACATGTACAGTCGATGCCCTAATAAGATACTTGATGATCAGTGCGAATAAAAGTATTAAACGAACTTAAGAGTCTATACAATCTCAAATGATTTTGGTGATTCCGTATAAATAGTGAAAGTGTTAAATCACTTTGGAAAAAATATACAGTAAAATTGAGGATATACTCTGACTACTATACAGTGTGAAACCAAGATTCCTAAAAATTTTCACGATTTCAAAACGAATATAAATCTTTCGCCTTTTAGAAAGAAAACACAAACTTACATCGAAAGGTTACAAGAAAACCGCTGTGGTAATTCAATAGGTAGTTTACATACACCAACGATTTTTTTTTATATCACCTGAACTAAACACAACACGTACACATACTATACGATACATATTTTTCAAATGGGCTTTAATTTCGTTTGTACAAAATATAATTCCGTAAAAAACCCAGTATCCCTGCCGCTCGACCCAAGCAATATGAACCGTATTAGTGCAAGAAAAATGACTCTTAACATTTAACCATATCATTTAACATGTGAGGCGTAAAGTTCTTTTTAGTATAGCTTCCTTATTGCACCATTAGTGAGTGACGTCTAAAGAAACTTTTCAAGATAACCTGTTCTTTAATTGCATTATATAAATACAAAGTTCAATCAAAAATCTGTTGAATGTATATAATTTCTGACTGGTAAGGTATCTTAGAGCATTGACTGTAATATAGTCCAGTCCTTATAATCCTGTAGGTGATCTCTCATTTCGCTGTCGTGACACTATTATTTATTCGAAATAACGCATGTTCAAAAACCAGTCAATGTTAAATGACATGTTGGACATAAACACGACATCAGTTGGCAAATAACCTCAAGCTACTGCGGCTGCAGGCGATTGGGGTGTATCCGATATTATAAAAGACAGGCGATGTCGTTGCCCGTAAATTATTTACGACAATTTAATAAACACATCAAGGCTTAAAGGCTTTTTCAATAGCTCCGGATTGCATCTGGGGGTATTAATTTGGCTCGTCGTACGGCTTCTGTGCGCCCTGTAATTGCTAGGTGGTGGGAACACATAACGCGTTGCTCTCCACGAACATTGCAATTAGGCTGCTATAAATGATTGTCCGTTGAATTATTTAGAGTTTGTGCTATAAGAGCGAATTTGTTGTTTCTGGATACAAAAAAATGTAGATGCAAATATTGAATTACAATTATTATTTTAATCGTTTCGTATATGGTAATGATAGGGGCTTATTTACATTTGAGAGAGTTTTTGTATATCTCATTTCTCAGGAAGTTTCTCGTGTTGTATATTTAAGGTTATGTTACGTTAATAATTTCACTCAAAACTTCAATGTTTTCTACAAAAACGTTAGAGGGGCTTTTCATTCACTTTTTATGACTTATTTTAAAAGATACAAACAGCTTATGCTACAATAAATAAATGAATATTGGACAACATCACATACATTGCTCTGATCCCAAAGTAAGTAGCTAAAGCACTTGTGTTATGATGGAAATCGGAAAGAACGACGGTACCACAAACACCAAGACCCGAGACAATATAGAAAAGTTAGTTTTCTACACTGACCTGGCCTCCTGGGACCTCAGAGATGGCGACACCATGAAAACCGGTGTACAAGTCGTACGACTACGGTACTCGTCAATACAAACAATATAAAATAACAATAGTAAGCAAAATAGTTCCCTGCTGATAGAAAGAGAGATAAACTTTACCAAGTGAAGAAACTATACATTATGTACTTATTTATTATATTATATATCATCTTGTTTTTATACTAGACATTTATAATTTTTTTGTGAAAATACTCCACTAGCTTCTTGTTATTATTGATTCAGTATGGACACGAACCAGTGAATTTTTCTCCAAACCGGGGCTATACACAATGTTTTTTTTTTATTGGGACAGTATGGGGAAATCCGAAACTATAGGAGACATAGGAAAACTGTGTTAGGAATCATTAAGTCTTTTCTGTGAAAACAATTTGGCATAATCATTTGTTGGTCGAACATGAGCTGTCCATAAAAAATGAATAAGATTTATTAATTTTTTCTAGTACTGATCGACACAGTATCACGTAAGGATAATTTCATTGTATTGGAAGAAAAAATCAGGACAGCAAACGTTATATAGAAAGTTTTGCCATGTCTTGAATAATCTCATAACTAATAATAATAATCTAATAATCTTGTCTAATCACTCTTTATAAGATACGAATTTGAGGAAGTAAGGCGACGAGTAGCTAATGTAATAATTTCAATCGTATTACATTTTTCATCGCCGAAAGAGAATAACTGCCGACTGTTATTTAACTTCAGTAGCAAATGAACTGCACTAGCAGTTCGCAGTCGCACCGACTGCTTCAAAGCACTTTCTAACTAGAAAAAACTGCATTCTCTACAGTTCCGTGTAGACGTGTGACTACATCCTTATTTGGAACATTTCCCAGTTTTCTTAGCAAAAATAACGGTTTTCTTGTATATTTTTAGAACAACAAGCTTCTTCCCGTATTTTTTATACTAGAATTAGAAACAATAATGTACATGCTTAATGTATTTGAATGTTTTACTACCAGGATAATAATTTTTGTGTGAACTTACTCCACTAGTCCATTATAATTATTACGTATGCTACCGGCTGGATTCGAACCGGCGCCTTCAGCATGCCGTGACTGGCGCTCTCCCAACTGAGCTACGGAGCAAACCAGCAGGCCTTATGATTTTTTCTGTGTTTGTTGAAGATTTTTGGTTTTTAACAACTTTTTGCCGTAGCCCATCTGTGAGAAATATATGAAAGTTTTCCTTCACTCATCCAGGTACTTTTACACTATCGGCGGCTGACTACAGTTGTGGCTATAATAATTGTAATATTGACTGCTTATAATTGACTTGGTTTGTAATCATACACTTCTTATTTAAGAAGATTTTGTTAGTGTAGCCTCCTCTATTCCTCGCCACCTATAGCCAGCTTCTTGACGTTTTTATAACCGCTAATTTTGACGCGCTCTTTTATTTGCTCACTGAATGCTATTGTCCACCTTCTCCTCTTTCCTTCTACCATCGTCTTAATTATAAATTCGATATTTTTATTTTATTTTATTAGTTACATAATGAAATGAATCATTCACAATTATCCATAATTTCTAGTACAGGCAATGAATCATATCTACACCGCACAGAAACTATATTTGCTTTTTATATTTTTTTTCCCAGGGTGAGACAAATGAAACTCAAGATGTCAACAATATTAAGTACAGACAAAGACAATCTCTTTCACACTTAAATTTAAATTCAATTCTATGCCCCTTGCTATAAGACGTTAATTCCAAAAAGTTCAAAATAAAGTACGGCGTACTGTACTTCACAATTTAAAAGTAAAGAAGTAATCGTGAAAGTGAAAGAAATAGTAGCCATAATATATATATTTTCTCGATGAGAAAATAGTTTTATCCATTACAAAAACGCGCAAATCTGATAAGCGATTTAAACATCCAACATAAATAATTCAAACCCAAGGGAAAGTTTCTTTTAGCATCGTAATTCTCTAACTTGTGTTAAGTAAGGTATTGAAGCGTGAAATAGTTCCCAGTGAGGTTTGATTATCGCTCGTTCCCACTAGCCGATGAACTGTAAAAAAGAATTTTTGCAATTTGTGGTTTCCTGTCAACTCGTGATTGTTGATTATGCTACTTGTCTTCCATATAAACAGGAATCTCTTTACATTAGCGTCATCTAGCTACCATTACAAGAAATTATTTTGATTATGTGTTACCTTAAATGTGACCCTATAATTTTATAAAATTTTTAGTTGTGAAAACTCATGATCATGAATGCAATCTTAATTTGTTTTCATCCGGTCGGTGTTGCACTTTATGCCGGCTATACACGCTACGATAGTACCGGAGAAGTCTACCTGTGCAGGTGTACCTGTGCTTATGTACCTGTACAGGCAGACCGGAACGTGTGTGGGAACAGACCTGTGCAGTTTTGTGTACCTGCGCAGACGAACGGCGCAAGATCAAAAATCAATTCTTTTGAGTGATAACGTACGATGAACCTGTGCATGTGTGCGTGATTTGTAGTTACGGTCTATACCGTACTGCAGTACGATGCGAACGACTACCCTATGGTAGTCGTCGTTCACATCGTACTCTCGACGAGTTTCGATTTCAACAACCGAAATGATTCTTCTTGTTATTGACCACGCTACATCCTTCTTCAATAATTGTGTTAACGACGAAGCAATCTGAGCAAAATTTTGAATGAATTTCCTAAAATAACTAGCTAGCCCAAGGAACTGACGAACACTGTGGACATTTCCTGTGTCGAGGAAAATTTAGAACAGATTGGATCTTCTTCTCACCTGGGCGTACTCCTCGCGCACTAATCTCATAGCCTAGGTAATCGATATTAAACCGAACTCACATTTTGACACGTTTAACGTCAAGTT